GTGAGCTTGTGGGTGCGGACGTGGACCTTGTCCGAGGCGAAGGTGCCGGCGGTGGTGCGCAGCACGAGGTGGAAGGTGTAGTTCCGTGTCGACGGCGAGGCCGCTGATCTTGGTGCTGTGCATGTGCAGGGGCCGCGGGATGCTGCCGGCCTTCTGGCCGTTGCGGAAGAGGGACAGCGACAGCAGGTCGGCCGTCGCCAGCTCGACGGGGTCCCACTCGAGCACGACGCTCGTCTGGGTGGCGTTGCGGCAGCGCAGGACCGGCACGGCGGGCTCGCTGGCGCCAAAGGCGTCGTAGATGCGCTCCTGGAGATCGCGGAAGGCGTGCTCGGCGGCGGATTCCGATGCGTTGTTGCGACCGACGGTGATGTCGACGATGCTGCCGGAGGAGATGTTCGGGGGCAGCAGGATGGAGGGGAACTCGATCTAGGTTGTGCCGTCAGTTGGCGGGAACAACTATACGTGGATGTAATGGGTGTGCAGTCAAACATACGAGGCGCTTATCTGGCGTCAGGAGCACCGTGACGCCGGCGTCGACCTTGCCGACCGTCAATGAGACGAGCATCGTGTGTGTGTGTGTGTGTGTGTGTGTGTGTGTGTGTGTGTGGATGTGGATTGTGGTGCTGCAGTATGGGATGGATGGCGAGGGTCGCGGATGATGTCGAGTGGCAGTCGGTGGATGATTCGATGGAGAGACAACGTGGGCGAGGCTGGATGGAGAGACAGCATGGGCGAGGCTGGATGGAGAGACAGCATGGGCGAGGCTGGCTGCCTTGTCGTGGTGTTGAACGTCAAACCTGCACGGCGCTCCTCATTGGCTGAAGCTGGAGCTTAGCAGGAGCTTGAACGTAGGGGCTGAAGGTACGTACCGCTGACCGTCCCCAATCGTGACAAGTACAGAGCCTCAAACAGGGCCATGCACAACGAAACAGTCTTCAGGCAGTAGGAAATAAATCAAGACATGTTCATATTGCTATCCTCCTTGGAAATAAAAATGAACTTAGCAGAGCTGAGGAGGAAAAACAGAGCTGAGGAGAACCTTCCCAAACGCCGGTGCCATGCTATGCCCCATCTACCATTGTCCAGCTATCCTACAGTCCCCAGACCTCGACCTCCATCAGAAAGGTCATGATGCACCCCTCCCTCAAAAAAAGTCGTCCTTCGTCAGGCTGGGCCCCAGATCCCCAAACTCGGCATCCAGATCTTCGTTCCTCGACCCGCGACTCGCCCTCTCGACCTTGCGCCCCGTCTTCTTGGGCCGTCTCGACAGCCCAACCGGCTTGCCCGCCCCCTCGTGTCTCTCCAGAAGGCCGCCGACGAGCCGGTCCGCCATCTGCCGCAGCTTCTCAAACGGCGTTCCGATGAGCTCCTGTGGCTTCCTAATCGTCATCCAGACCGTCCCCGTCAGAACAGGCACCTTTGCCTCGCGGCGCAGCCCCTCGAGCTGCTGCTGCGGCGTGACACCACCACCCCTACTCCCCTGGGCCGTTTCCGTATTCTCTTGGCGCCACCGCCGAACCGAGCCGCGCGGTTGGCCGCCCACGCCCTCTCGACGGCCTCCTTCGGCCAGCCGTACTTGTGCACGCCGCGCGCCGCGAGCGCCATCGTAGAGCCAGCCCCATCGGCCTCTTGGCGAGAGT